CTGGAATAAAAAAAATAATGAGGAGGTGTAGAGTATTTTTAGAATAAAAAAAAATAGGGGGAGGTGGAGGAGGGAGCAACACCCCTGAAAAAACCATTGTTCATTTGTTTGTATAAATGGGCTTGATGGTGTTTGGTCAAGGTGTTTACTTTTCCATTATTACATCGTACACACCTACAATTACTAAGTGCATACCCACAATAATAAGAAAAGGACTCAAACACTCTTTATTATTGTCGCCGCCGCAACCATCATATGCTGCTTCAGACGAAGAAGATGAGGGAGAGAACGTTGCAGAGTAAGAAGAAGACATAAAAAGCAGAAAAATAACTCTTTTAGAAATTTTTTTAAACAAATTTCGTATTTTTCAAAAAAAGTAATTTAGAACATATTTTATGTAGGACTATTTCGGAATACTCATTCCAAAAAGTATTACTTATTTTTTGAAAAAATGATTCCAGATATCCTATCCCAAAAAACTAATTCTATAATATATTTCATGCTTTTTGGAAATTTTGTTCCCAAAATTACATTTTAGAAATTTTATTCCAAAAATGTGTTCCAAAAATCTTGTTTAGAAATTTTTGAAATGCTTCTTTCATAAAGTTTTGGAAATATGTATTCCAAAAGTCAATGGAGGGTAAAATTATCATTTCAAAATTTGAGGTGGTGGGCGAAGAAATTGTGAAGGTGCAGGAAGTGAAAGAGTTACTTTTGTTTGTTTAGTTGGACACATGCAAAACTTTTATTCATAATAAAATAAAGAGCATTGCTCCCTCTATTACCAGGACATTTTTTCTGTACTTCCTTAAATTTTTATTATTTTCAAAATTATCTTTAGGTTAACTATCTTTAGGTTAAAGGTTATAACTTTTTTAATTTTATCACGAATTTTTAATTTATTTCTTAAACTCTAATTTTACTTCATTCATATTCTTTGAACGCAGCAGCTGTACTCCCATATCATGTCAACTCAATCTTCGTCTACCTAGTTGTACCTAATTTGACAAATTCGTTAGTCACCATGTTATCGGTTGAGTATCTGAAAAAAATGTTGTACTATGTTTTTTTATATCATTGGATATTCACGTATATATTTTATATTTTATATTTTTTAATTTTAAAAAAGAAAATATAAACTTAGATTATATTAAAAAAACTTAAGTACAATTCAAATAAAATTATATGAAAAATTAGTGCAAATAAATTGAACTTTTTTAGAAATTAAATTTAAATGAATTGCAACAAAGTATAAATTCTAAAAATTTAATCTCTTACAAAATAAATTCAATTTTATAGGTCTAAATAAAAAAAATAAAAATATGTGAACATAAATTTTAAATTATTGTTAAATAATTAATAGGTTTTCATTATTAATTTTATTTTCATCATTCAAATTTAAAAGATTAATTAACTAAAATTCAATAATAATTATTAGGTATAATCGAATACATGATAATTTTATGTACTTCATCAATAAAAGATAATTAAATATCCATATCTGATGTGGATACAACTAGGTAGAAGAAGATTGAGTTGACATGGGGGTGAGGGTGCACCTGTTGCGTTCAACGAATATGAATAAGGTAAAATTAGGGTTTGGAAAATAAATTAAAAATTCATGGTAAAAGTAAAAAAGTTTTAACCATTAACTTAAGGATAATTTTGGAAATAAAATAATTTGAGGAGATGCATGGAGCATGCCGGGGTGGTGGAGGGAGCAACGCTCTAAAATAAAGGGTTAAATATGTTTTTAATCCCTAAACTATCATGCTATTTTGGGTTTCGTTCTTCCTCGAAAGTTTTGTTCATTTTCGTCCCCTTAGTTAAGAAACTCATATTTTTAGTCCTTAAAAAGCAACAACGTTAGATTTTCTGGAAGTGGCTAAAGGTGAGCCACGTGGGATGCAGGTTCCCCGACAAGTGTGTGTCACGTTTCTCTTTTTTTTTTCCTCTTTTGTTCTCTTTTACTACTCTTCAACGGAGCAACGTCTACCGCCTCTAACACCGAAATCTCAAATTCCGGTAACCACCTCGTGCAAGCCGTCGCGACTGGCTACCACCATGCCGGTCTCCGAAAAGCGAAATCGCTTGCTACCGCGCCATAACTGTGTCGCCACCACCCACAATAGGGATGACAAAAAAAATCTGTGGATACGGGTATCCATGGGTAAAATCTGCAGCGGATAGTTACTATCCGCATATATTTACTACCCGCGGGTAACAGATAGCGGGTATTTTAATACCTAAACGGGTCGGATACGGGTAGTATATTACCTGACCCGCGGGTACCAATTACCTGCAAAACAAAAATTATATATATTTTAATTAAATTTGATTAAAAATAAAATTAAACTATATTTTATTAGGTTAAATTTAATTAAAATTAAAATTTAATTTAATTTATATTATATATATTTTATGTAATTTTATTTTAAAAATGTATAAATATTTTATTTTTTGCGGGTATCCGCGTGGGTAGCGGGTTTGATAGCGGGTACAATTTTATCGGGCGGGTCGGGTTGCGGGTAGGCACTATCCGTGCCCGACTCGACCCGTTGCCATTCCTAACCCACAACCGCAAAGCCTTAACGAATCGCTAGCTGCCGTCATGCGCAACCATCATGGTCGCTGCAAAGCCATCGTGAATGCGCCATAGTCACCTTTTCCAGCAAGCTTCGACCTCTTGAAACGTGCAGAAGAATAACTCATATCGCAAACAACGTCGTTTATAACGCGCAACCTTAGGTTGCCATCAACAGCGGGGAGTTCAATGCAGAAACCTAAATAGAGAAACCGAGAATCCCAATTCAGGTACCCTAATTACGAATTCATCTTCTCACGCAACCTTCATCTCATTCGCGGCGCAAAAGCTTTCCCTTCACACACAGAGCCAACACAAACCTGCAAGGAAACCAAAGAAGTAAAAACAAAAACCAGATCATGAATTTATCCCTAAACTAAGTGAAGCCACCGTAAAGGAGAGGGAGAAACCATGTTCTCCCGCTATAATTAGAAACGTGACACACACTTAGCAAGAAAGTTAGCATCCCATGTGACTCACCGTTAGTCACCTCACAAAAAATCTGACGTCATTACTTTTTAAGGACTAAAAATATGAATTTTCTAACTAAGAAGAAGAAAATAAACAAACTTTTCGAAAAACCTAAAATAACATGCAGGAGTAAAAGCATAATTAATCCTAAAATAAATAACAAACTTCCATATAAATTAATACAGTATATATGATTGCAAAAAGAACTACCTGTGTATAGTGTTTGTTTCAAGAGAACTAAAATTCATATTCAGAAAATATATTTCACAAAAATCATGAATTTTAGAAATGACTATACTTTGGGTGCTTAGTCATAAATACTTACAAAAATATTTATATTATTTTTTTAATGTAAAAAATAACTAGACTTTTATTGAAAAGTTTAATAATTTATTATATTGAATTGTTTAATAATAATACCGGGCTATTTTAAGCGGTAATTTTTCGCTTACTACAGAATTCTCACCCCACATAAATACATTTTTGTAAAAACATTATTAAAAGTATTTCCAAATAAATATTGTTTTTAATAGTGTTTTTTTATTTGAAATGTAAAATACATATGAAATACAAATCGTGAGATATTTAATTTTAAAAAAATTAAATACTTTTCGGCTGTCAAATGTCTTTTTAGTCTATTATTAGACATTTCTTTTTCATTTGAAAATAATGAATGTGCTAAAAGGAATTCCCATTTTTATAGGTTGTTATCCTTTCAACAAAACATTTACGTAATTTGAGTCTTAGAAAATCAAAATCATGAAAAAAAAAAGTGTTACTTATAGAGGTTTGATTCCCATTTTTTTATTATCCATTCATCGATTAATGTCTTCAAATAAGAATGTTTTTAGTATGAAGACACTGCGCAGTAAACTTTTTAAATAATTACATAAACTTGTTTACATTTATTTTCTTTATTTGTTAAATGAAGCAGACCATACTCTTAGATTAGACCTAACACCAAAAGAGTGTGGTCAGACAGTTAAATGAAGGGAAAGATGTGGCATTTATGAGGAGTAGTGGTGTTATAGACAATTTTGGTGAATTGATAAATCATAAATGTTAGGGAAGTTGTTGCCAAATAATTTAAAATTCTTGGTCCCTTAACTGCAATTCTAGAAAAGTACCCAACTGTACCAGATAGCAATTGGATAGACTTCAATCATCCTCTTCATTGCACTTTCTTTTTACTTTCTTCGTCAACACTACTGTTGTTATCCAATATCCAATGAATTATCACAAGACAAAAAAAGAAACTATATTTTAATGAGTTGTTTTTATCATTTTTTTGGTAGACTCGAATACAAAAAAATATTCATGTAATTGTATATTGATTATAAATTATAAATAACAATTAAGTTTATTAAATGAGTTTATACACATTTAACTAGTACACATGAGAAGAAAATGGTAGAGTAGGAGGTATGTGTCATCTCGAATTTATGATTAAATTACAATATCAGAACATTGGGATCAATTTCCAAAACTGTTTTAAAACAATAACTTTTTAGTGCCTGAATAACGTGTATTAAAAGCAATGAACTAAAACAAATTTAAATTAAACAAAAAGAAGAAGGAGAAAGGGAAACAGGAAACAGAACTGGCAACAGCAACGAGTTTGATTAACGATGGATAAATAAAAAAGATAGAAATAGAAGGACAGCACATTTAAGGTTCCACCACGTGTAGAGTTGCAATATTCTCATTACTTTAGGGTTTATACAAACGAATAAATAGAAAGAAGCAATAGAAAAAGAGCATGCAATGCAAGCAGATCCTTTAGCGCAGCGCAACGAGATGATGCAAAACCCCAATCCCAACCGTTACTCAAACACGACAACAATTGACTTGCTTAGACAACTAACCAAGCTTACTAGACTAAACAAAGAGCATCCTAAACAGCGGTTTTTATTTGCGATCTGAGGCGCGTGTGATGAGATCCGAAGTCATCTCCGGCAGCGCGTGATGACAGAGCAGCCCCTGGAGTAGGGATGGACGGGTCCACGCGCCTTGTAGCAGTTGTGAGTGTAGTAAGATCTTCCAGAACGAGGAGGACACGGGATTCTGTTGGCAGAAAGAGCACCGTAGGAGATGTAGTACTTCATTCGACGCCAGAACAATGATCTCCGACTAAAACCGCTCTCGACATCTTCTTCCTCGTCTTCGTCAAGATCATCGTAGAGTGACATTGTGGTCGGCCAGTCCAACGCGTCGGACATGAGGTTAAGGCCAGACTCTTCGATCTGCGCGTGGACGCCACCGTGGTGGGTGAAGAGGAAGCATAGGAAGAGGGCGAGGGAGAAGGAAAGGGTGAGAATAGGAAGAGAAGAAGCCATGGGAAGAGAGAGTGAAGTGTGGAGAGTGAAGAAGTTATAATTTGGTGTTAGGGAGGGGACAGAAGATACAGAGTCACATGGTGTAAGCGCCAAAGCTGGTACCTTACTGGTTTACAGCTGTGCCTCATCAATGCCTCAATTTACGCGTGTCCCTCCTCTATTATCGTGCGCCCCCACCTCATTTTGCCTTAGATTCCATCTGACGGTGGAGAACGTGTTCGTGAACTTTTAATCAAAAGCATGGTAGAATATGTTTCTTGTCGTGTCGTGTTACACTGCGCAACGGTACGTAGTAAAAGCGCTGCGGTGGTGCCGACGAACGGTGATTTGAATTAAATGTGGATCACTGGCTCCATTGTTCGTAACTAAATCTGGTAGCTCAATCAGCTGCAATGCCTAACCTAAAACAACCACGACGGTGCAACATCATAAATCCTCATAAATTATATTATAGTCACAGTCGTCAGAAACAAAGACATTTAATTATAAATATTAAAGAAAAATAATTTGAATTTAGCAATTTTAAACTTCAGTCCAGTTTCTTCCCCTTTCTAAATTTCCTGATCATTAATAAAATGCATTTTTTCTCTGTTGTTGTAATAATAACAAATAGTTAAAAACAATATTAATAATAAGAAAAAAAATAATAACAATTATATATTTTCTTTTCAACAAAAGACTTCTTTTTTTCTTACCTCTTGTCCTTTTTATTTTCTTTTCACTCCCTTTATTTCTTGCTTCTTACTAAACAAAGTATTAGAGAGAAAATTTGTTTCAGAATCACAAACATACATTTTTGGGTTGTGACATTACTTTTGGTGAAAAAAGTGGATCATGGATTGAAAATACAAAAAGGGGCAATTCTAAATATAAGGAAAAGAGAACAGTCAAAATTAGACTTTTTGCAAATTTGCATACACAAACACTTCATTCCTAAAGCCCAAATAGCAACCCATCACATTACATGGCGAGTCTTTCATCCTACACCTCCAACATCTCATTCTGCACCTCTAAAAATTTCATTTTTAACCTTCTGATATATGCACCTCCAACTTTTCTAAAAACTTTTTTTTTAATAAATATATTTTTATTTTCTTCTCTCTCATATAAAAGACACTTTAATAAATATATTTTTATTTTTTTCTCTTTCTTATTAAAATCTCTCTGCACTATCTTAATAATAATCTAATTTAATTTAAAATTTAATATTATTTAATATAATTTTATATTTTAATAATTATTAAAATATGATTTATATCATAATAATAGTTATATTAAATATATAAAAATCAAATAACTAAAATAAAAGTAATAATAATAAAAATAAAAAATAAAATAATAATAACAATAATATAAAATTTGCTTTAATATATTCAAATATATTAAATTATATTAAAATATTATAATAAATTAAAAAGTTATTAAATTTTAAATAAAAACAAAATTTTTAAAAACTTATTTATTGGATACTGTAAAATATTTTAATAGTTTTTTTTAAAATTTAATAAATATTTAATTTAATTAAAAATAATAATATTATTTATTATATTTTTCTAATTTAATAATTATTAAAATATTATTAATATTTTATAATAATTTTATTAAAAAAGTAAAATAAAATAACTAAAATAAAGTTAATAATAATGGAAATAAAAATATATTTAAATCAGATAAAAGATATTTAAATATATTACATTATATTAAAATGTTAATTTAATTAAATAATTATTAAAGTTTAAATAAAAAATAAATTTAAAATTTGTTAATCGGATATAGAAATCCGATAATGTACGAATGGGATATGTATATCCGATTAAGAATTTTTCAAAATTTTATTTTTATTTAATTTTAATAATTATTTAATTTAATTTAATAATTTAATATAATTTAACATATTTAAATATATTAAATGTGATTTTAAATATTATTTTTATTTTTATTATTATTATTATTATTATTAGTAATTTTAATAAATCTGTTATAAAAATATATATTATATTTTAATAATTATTAAAATATAAAAATATAATAAATATATTATAATTTTCAATTAAATTAAATATTTATTAAATTTTAAATAAAAAACTATTAACATATTTTAGGGTATCCAATAAATAAGTTTTTAAAAATTTTGTTTTTATTTAAAATTTAATAATTCTTTAATTTATTGTAATATTTTAATATAATTTAATATATTTGAATATATTAAAGCAAATTTTATATTATTGTTATTATTGTTTTATTTTTTATTTTTATTTTTATTATTTTTATTTTAATTATTTGATTTTTATATATTTAATATAACTATTATTATGATATAAATCATATTTTAATAATTATTAAAATATAAAATTATATTAAATAATATTTAAATTTTAAATTAAATTAGATTATTATTAAGATAGTGCAGAGGAACTTTAATAAGAAAGAGAAAAAAATAAAAATGTATTTATTAAAGTTCCTTTTATAAGAGAGAAGAAAATAAAAATATATTTATTAAAAAATAAAACTTTTAGAAAAGTTGGAGTACATATGTCAGAAGGTTAAAAATGGAATTTTTGGAGGTGCAGGATCAGATGTTGGAGGTGTAGGATGAAACACTCTTACATGGCTGAGTCCCTATAAAGCAGGCCCATAATAATTATTTTTTAAAGTACTATTCATGGAAATATATATTCGTACTTACCAAAGTCCAACCTATAAGTACTCACGCTCTCGCCATTTTCAACTTATGCCACAAAGATGAAGATATTCAGTGTTACATGTAACATGAGAGGAATGAGTACTACGATTTGGATAAATTACATGGGTGCAACACGACATGTTGGTCCTCACCCAGATTCTGCAACTTGGGTAAACAAAAATGTCCTCTCACAGGATCCTTTGTCACATAGAACTCAACAACTCCATGCCCACCATTATGGGAATGCCATGGCAGCAAAGGCCTATCATGTGAAGGTGAGAGAGTCAACATAACCTACAAGCTTGACGTTCCATCAACCTCCTCCATTTTCATTCTCTTCCCCTCTCCCCACAAGCTTTACGTTCCACCCACCTCCTCCTCCTCCATGCATGTACATAATAATTGTTGCATGATAATGACAAGTTATGCAATTGAGAAAACCCATGAGAATGGTAGGGTTTTGCTGGTTTTCAATGTTTTCTACTCCTAGGAAACCACTACTTATGTTATGAAATATTCCACCCTCTATCTAAGGACAGTTAAAAAGCCTCAAGATCAAAGTGACTATTAAGAAGGCTGCAATACTGAAATCTGACCTGTGTGGGGAATCCGGTTAGAAGTGTGTACAGGAATGTGAAACCCGGTTGTTTCAAATCATGTATATTGAATTTTGAATTTCGGTTTTGATTGCCAGATCCTATGCATAGAATCTGATAATTATTCATCATATTATACAATCCGATTAACTTTCAACCATTGTCAAATACATTAATGATTTTGAAATCCGATATTACTATCACATCGTACAGCAAATTTTGGAATCCAATTCAAAAATCCACCGAAGTACAGAACTTAATTCAACACCACCAAATCTGGAACACAATAATCAGATTTCAAAATTTGAAAAAAAAAAAAAAAACACCGTAATCCGGTGCACAACCGCCCACCCGACCCCAAGGTTTGGGCTTGCACGAAGTCAGTACGAGGAAAAGGAAAATACAAATAATATATATTCAATTATTTGATATATAATTTGTAAAGAACAAAAGGGGAAGTATTGGGTTACAGGAAGAAGCCACTAATGGTATCCATGTTTTTGTGATACAAAAATCCTTGTCAGAATCATGAACTTTTCTTCTGTTTTATTGCCTCACAAGCTTATGCGATTTTAAAATACACATGTTTGCTTAAAAATAAGATAATATTTCAAAATGATTTTAAATTCAATATTTCATTATTAAAAATAAGATAAATTACAAAATAACTTCACAAGTCTAAAATTAAAAATGTATGAAATTAAATTTTAAATCATTATTTCATTATTAATCACATCCTAAATCATTATTTCATTATTATTTGAATTTTTAAAAAAAATACTCAAATAAAATTTATTAATAACTATCAGTAGATATTGGATATTTATACCTTAATACTATGGCCATTAACAAACAGAAAATTAAATAGTCATATCGATCAGTATTCAAATAAAATAGTTTAGAAGTAAACATATTCTTCCAATACATAAGTTAAATGTTATAGTTATTAGAAAATCCCGGAAAGATTAAACTTTTTCTGAAATAGAAACCTTGTTCTAACTCTACAACCAAATGATGAACATGAAATTTATGCATAGTTAAAAAAGCACAAGCAAATAAGATAAAAGGGACCACATTTTTCCGTGGAATTTAGTTATACAATTTATCTTTTTATCAGTTTTTTTTTTTGTGATAACATGCTACAATCTGATAAATGTTTGCAGACTTCTCTTTTTTGAGTTTCCAATACGTCTCCCACTTTGAAATGGGTCCCTGCAACACAAGCTGAAATTATGGTTTTATCTACATGCTATTATTTGATACGCGAATCTTATGAAAGCTAGGTCTTATGGCATTAGAAACAGTGATTGGATTGCATCATTCTGCTTACTTATGATATTAGTTTATCTTTAATACTTATATAAATGAATAATTTTTTGGAGGACTGTTTTTAATGTTTGTTAATGAGGGGTATTCAAACTTTCCTAAATGTAAATATTTAGGCGACAATCATCTCTTTTTTAATTGTATGCTATCCTAAAAATATTGACATTTTGAAAAAGTCATGTCACTTTCCTACAAAACTCTTAAATACCCGTTCTTCTAGTTTTACATATTAAGGTTGAATAGTATTTTGGAAGGTTTTTTCTTCTCCATTTTCTATTTGATTAACGAAAACACTGGAAACATTGAAAACATTAAANTGATTGGCTTGCATCATTCTGCTTACTTATGATATTAGTTTATCTTTAATACTTATATAAATGAATAATTTTTTGGAGGACTGTTTTTAATGTTTGTTAATGAGGGGTATTCAAACTTTCCTAAATGTAAATATTTAGGCGACAATCATCTCTTTTTTAATTG